ATCTTGATAGATTCTTTATGCTCCTGAGTACTCTGCACTGACAAGAATCATCAGAACCACCACTAGGTATCATTATTTTATGTGTTAGTAAGGAAGCAGACAGATGACTGTATCAGAGATTCAAACAGCATGTTGACAGCCGAAATGAAATGTAACTGGCTTCCTCTTTAATTGTGTGTATTTTTATTTGAGGCTTTTAAAAACATTATTCTGAGAAGGAGTCTATAGGTTTTGGACTAGAAGGGGTCCCTGGTACAAAAGGTCTGAGAACCCCTGGCTCCTGAGGGAAACTTGGGCAAATACCTGCATCTCACCAGCCCTGGTCGACCCTACCCTGGTAGTGCAGCTGGAAGGTGCCAAGGCCGTCCTCCTGGAAGGTCCGGAAGTAGATGGAGATGGTGTTGGTGGGGCTCCGGATCACCTGCCCCTCCACCAGGAGTGTGTGGTTGGCGAGGACTGTCAGGGTGGGGCCGTCCACCCCCCGGATGGACAGCAGCTCCCCCTCAGACAGGTTCACACTCTTCACCTGGGGACAGGTAGGGCAGACAGAGAGGAACTCGGAGTTGTGTTTGAGATACGGCCCCCACCTTAGGCTTTGGGGCTGCCAATGCAGCACCTTCCCCACCAGCCCAGGCACTCACAGTGTGATACCCCCAACAAGCCCAGGCATTGCCTTGTGGCAAACCCCAACCCCACCGACAGTATGCCACCCCCCAACCAACCCAGGCAGAGGGACCGACCAACCCCAGTGGAGCCCTGGGAGCATATAGGCACCTCTCATTTCCCCCAAGGTGGGGATAGAGAGAGTCCAGGCTGGGGCAGAGGGTTTACAAGGGGCCTGCAGTCTGTGAGCCCCCAAGCTGGGCCCCATGAAGGAGGTATTACCAGGGTTCATGAAGCTGCAGAGCCAGATGATCTTCTCTCCAGTTTATTTTAATGTTGGGGGCATTCATTAAGCATCTACTATGTGCCACCCACACACTGCATTGAGCTCTGGGCTGCAAAGCCTGCAGGCTGCTTAGTCCTTTCTGAAGCAGTGGGAAATCTTCCTCAAATCTACGTCTGATGACATCATACAGTCTAACCAGCTCAAAACCTTAGATGGTTTTTCATGGCCCACCAGAAAATGGAAAGTATCCTACCTCTACCATGAAGTACAAGGAGCTCTGGTGGTGCAGTGCCTAAGGCATTTGACTGCTACCAGAAGGTTGGCAGTTCAAACCCACCTGCCACTCTGTGGAAGGAAGACGGGGCAATCTGCTGAATCTACTAGTCTCTTCTCCATTCCCACTCTTCCCCTCTCCCCTATCTGCATGTGTGTCTGTGTGTGTCTATATGTCTACATGTGTGC